AGGTCAGGTATGGATTACGTTGTGACTTGAGGCACAGCTGATAGGCACCAACGTTTAAGGCCATGCCTTCTGTGAGCCGAGACCTCGGGAACAGCTGGATACAAACAGGTATAGCTGGAGAGGGGAAATTCTCAGAAGCTAGGGCAATGTCATAAAGGCCTCCTAGGCTTAAAGCAGGTTGCTGCCTCTGGAGGTTCTGGGCCTACCAAGGACAACCTGAGAAGTGACTTAGGTTCCTGGAAAGAGTTGTCATGGGTCAGCAGCCTATTGCTTCCGGGTCAGGGCTGCCAACATGGGTCACCACAGCCATGTTGAGGCATCAGTGCCATATGTATTCCATTCTTTACTTCAAGAGGCCCTTAGCCCTGCCTAGCCTTTCCCACTGATCCAGGTTGGCACAGCACCACAAGAGTCCCTTGGAGTGTCCTGCACCTATCCCAAGGCCCACCTTGAGAATCCTCCCACAGTAGTCTGTAGTGGAGATGGAAAATTCAGTATCGCAGGCGGAGCACAGAGCAGGGCTGAATAAGGAGTGCCAGTCTCCCCTGCTGCCATGAGGTGGATGCTCCACCCTGGGCACGTTGCACTGCCTAGCCTGGCCTCAGCCTCCTCTCTGGAATGTATTGCCTGCTTCACAGTGTCATACTGGCTTCAGGACTTTTTCCCCAGCTGTCAATCATGTACCACATACCAAGGCTGGTCTTGAACCTGAATTTCATAATGACTAGGAGAGAAACTTCTGTGTCTGCTAACCAGGTCTGCCCTTCAGTTTGACACCTGGGCGAGGTACATATGGGCTGACATTTGGGTAATAAGCTTCCAGGAGCAGGCACATCTGCTCTTGTCCTTCACTATCCTAGGAGATGTACCTTCTAGATGCTGGGACATGGTGGCAGGGCAGGGCACAGCACATGAGTGTCCCCTTCCTTTGGATCCACTGTTAAGGAATACCACATTATATTATTATATAATATTATATATTATATGTAATTATTATATCTCACACCACATAAGCTGGGGTAGTTTCAAAGGCTTATACACTGAAAATAACTAAACTTTGCTGAAAGAAATTTACCAAGTCACAAATAAATGGGAAGGCATTTTGTTTGTAAATGAAGACATTTAATATTGTTGAGATGTCAGGGTTGCTGAGAATGCAACCCTGCTTAGAGTGCTCCACAGACTCACCTTAGTACCACTTAGAGTGCTCTACTGACTGACTTCAGGACTACCTGGATCAAAAAACTGATGTCACCACTGTCTAGGGCGCTCCACAGACTGACATTGGCACTATCCAGAGTGCTCCACTGTCTAGAGTGCTCCACAGACAGACATCGGTACTGCCTAGGGAGCTCCACAGACTGACATCACCACTGCCTAGAGTGCTCCACAGACTGACACCATCACTGTCTAGGGTGCTCCACAGACTGACATCATCACTGCCTAGAGTGCTCCACTGACCAGTTTCAGTGCTCCAGGACTGATGTCCATACTTCCAAGAGTGCTGCAGGGAATTCAATACAATTTCTTTAATCCCAATAGATTTTGTCTAAGGTAGAAAAAAAATTTCTGAAATTTACATGTAGTTTCAGTGACACCAAATAGCTAAAATAAACTTAATAAAGCCCAGCGTCAGAGAACAAAACATTAAATGTTTGTGACTTGGGTTGCACAATGGCTTTTAGATATGGCACAAAAGCGGAAATGACGAAAATAAAAATGAAGTTGATGTGGACTTGACTTGAATTTAAAAAGTACACAGCACACAAAACACTATAAAAAGACTTAAAAGACAATCCACTAAGTGGGAGAAAAATCTTTTCAGTTGCTATATCTGACAGGGACTTGTACCTAGAATATAAACAGCACAGCTCAATTTAAAAGTAGGCAGAGATTTAAGAAGACACTTCTGCAGTGACATCATACACATGACTAATAAACCAACAGAGAGATTCCTTCACGGTCATATGTTGCTGGGAAATGTAAACGAGAATTATGGTGAGATGCCGCTCCATGTCCTCTGTCATGGCTGTAATGGAGATACTAGCAGTTGTTGGTACCTTGTAGAGAAGTTGGGAGCCTTGCCCATTCCTAGTGGGTTTTGTAAGATGGTTCGTGCACTTTGGAAAACAGTTCACCAGCTAAATACGAAGTTGCCACTTGACCAAGCAGATCTACTCCAGTCCGTTTTAGTCAAGAGAAAGGAAATCATATGTCACAGGGACTTGTTCCTGGATACTTAAAGCTACTTCAGCAAGGGGAGTCCCAAACTGTGAAGAGCTCAAGTGCCTTTTGTGTGCATTTTGACGTGTACGTGGTATATGTGCATGTGTATTCAGGTCAGGCGTCTGTCATTCTGTCTTAATCCCTTCTCACAAGCTCTCTCACTGAACCTGGAGCCAGGCTACCAGCCAGAAAGGTCCAGCGATCTTCCTGTTTCTGCCTGCCACGGCACTGGGATTGTGGGGCCCTCTGCAGCTGTGCCGGGCTTTTATCCGCGTGGTGGAAATTTGAACTGGGTCCTCATGTGTACACAGCAAGTGCTCTTAACCACAGAGCCGTCTCTCTGTTGAGCAGTGAGGAAGATAAGCAGACTGTGGCACCTCCACACGATGGAATCCTGTTTAGCAACAGAATGAGTTGACATATGTATCAACACCCAGGAGACTCCAAACAACCCAGTGCTTACTGACAGGAGCCAGTAACGACATGCGTAGTTCCTTTTGTAGGAACTTTCCAGAACAGACGGACGCAAAGGCAGGCTAGCAGTTGCTAGGTCTAGGAGTTAGCACAGAGCGGCGGTGGAAGTATTCCAAAGCAGGCTAAGGTCATGCCTGTACAAGCCTGTCAACTTATTTAAACCAGTTAGTGCCCGGAAATGGGCCATTTGTTCCATATGTGAATTAGAGTTCAATAAGTTATAACTCTTAAAAAGTGAGTGTCGAGGGCTGGGGAGATAGCTCAAATGGTAAAGTGCTTGCCACGTGAGTGTGAGGACCTGAATTAAATGCTCAGAAACTGCCCCCCCCAACCACCCCACCGGGTATAATGGAGAGTGTTTATACACACAGTTACAAGGGAGGCAGAGACAGGTGGATCCCTGAGGCTCATTGGCCAGCCCACCTAGCCGAATCAACAAGCTCCAGGTGAAGGGGTGAGATCCTGTTTCAAAACAAGGTGAATGGGGCTGGAGAGGTGCATCAGCGGTTGCTGCTCCTGGTACCGAACTTAGAGATCATTCAGGCAATGCTCACCTTTAGAACTCTCTTTTTGTCCCTCCGTTCCTTCCTCTCCCCCTTCCTCCCAGATGCTGAAAAAGAAAATGGCAGGCACCCTACCTAGAGAGTCTGCCTATGAGTGTCTGATTTTTATTTCCCAAGAGAAACTTCCTGAGACCTTAAGTAGCCATGGGCACTTCTAATATGGTGGGCTCACACCAACTAAATTCTTGTTCCTTCTTCTTTTAGTAATGATAGAAAAAAAAATATTCTCAGTGTCCCACAAAGGAACACAAAAGAGAAAATAACCCCTCAAGCAATTTTCATTTTCCTGCCCTTGTGACTAGTGGGGCCAGTGGACTGTAAGGGGGTTGGCAATTATGATGGCCACTAGAGATTTGCCTTTTGAATATGCTTGGTCACCCATATTCATAGTCACTTGACCATTCCTCTCGATACTGGGCTATTATAAAGATTACGGTAGTCTCATGCAACCAGATGCTTCACCAAGCCAGAAAAGTCGGCAGGAAATGCCACAGTCTGTACTAGGGAATCTTATCCCTCTCCTGTGAGAGCACTTTGGAGGCCCATCAGCTGTGGCAGGCCAGGAAGATGACACTGTTGGAAGTTCCAGAAGATCCTTGAACTTTAGCCAGTGGCTAACCCTAACAGACAGGCATGTGTGAACTCTGCAAGGGTGCCAGAAACCTGAAGGCCATAGGAGCTAGTGGTCAGGCCCCTTGCTCCTGAGGATCAGCACAGAGGCTTGAGACACGGTGTCTCAGGAGCACAGCAGTGCCACCCTGGAGCTGCCTCCAAAGTTCCAGAGTTTTTTGTTTTGTTTTGTTTGTAATGTTCCAATGGGCATTAGCTTTTTTGTCCTATCTGGGCTTGAAGCTTAGGGTTGATTCTTTAACATATCAAGTTATCGTGGGGTTGGTTCATTAACATATCAGAACCTGCCATAGGCTTGGTTCGCATTGGAGCTGCCTTGTTGCTGGCTCCTTACCTTGCAAGCATTACATTTTATTCCAAGTCACACGCAATGGTTTTCAGGTTACACAAAATGGTTTCACTTATGGTCGAACACCCTTTTGAACTCGGCTAGCATATGCTGACTTCCTGAAGTCTCTGCTCACAGTAAGTGACAAGATTCTTTGGTGATAGTCATTTCAGGGAGTCCCTGGGTAAGCCCCTAATCTAAAGAATGAATTAATCTAGCTATCTCTTTAGCATGGCTTAAGGTGATCCTGCCTTCCTGGTGGGGTGAGGTGTCCCTTGGCCAGACAATTGACCTACCCTACCTGGAATGTTAGATCTCTACCAGGCCAGAGATTCTGTTCCATTGAGCAGGAGTTTTCTCTTAACAGGCCTTCACTGCTATCCTTATTACCATAATACATCCCCTCTTTAAGGGTAACCTTAGAGCCACTTAGAAGCCAGATCATCGTTCAGAGCCCACAAAACACTGTCAACATTTCCGGCCTCTGGCAAGGATGATCCTGCCGAGGAGACCTACAAACATTCCTGGCTTTCAGTCAAGAGACAAACTGGCTGCTCTTCTTTGGGGATCTTTTCACCCTAGACCATCTAGCTGATTTTAAACTCCTGTTTCATCATCCCCACCCCTAAGAGGTAACCCTACTACCATTGTGTCTTCTCTCAGCTGAAAGGAGGTGTCATATGTGGCAGTCAGGGTACCCCTCCACTGGGTTTATCTAAAAGACCCTGTCTTAGTCACTGTTCTATTGCTGTGAAGACACACCATGACCATGGCAACTCTTATAAAGGAAAGCATTTATTGGGTCTGGCTCATAGTTTCAGAGGTTAAATCTGTTATCGTCACAGTGGGAAGCATGGGGGCATGCAGGCAGACATGGTGCTTGAGAAGGAGCTGAGAGTTTTACATCCGGATCTGTGGAGAGCAGGAATTGAGCATGACACTGGACCTGACTTGAACATCTGAGACCTCAAAGCCCACCCCATAGTGACACACTTCCTTCAACAAGGCCACACCTACTCCAACAAGGCCATATCTACTCCAACAAGGCCACACCTCCAAATAGTGTCAATTCCTATGGGCCTATGGAGGCCATTTTCATTCAAACCACTACAGTGGGCAAAAGGCAAACCATTGTCCTGGTTTTTTGGCTCCTCTGACTTGTATAGTTATATAAGGTGCAGAAGATCAGCTTCTGGTACTTTTAATTGATATATAATAGTTAGATAAGTTTAGGAAAAAAATCTCAAACACTTTTTTTTTTTTGACTGTTAGATGTCATTTATTATTTCACACAGAAGTTGAAGACCAAGGTTACAACTATTAAATACCTCTTCCTCACCCACCCCTCAAAAGACAGCCCAACTTCGTTAGAAAAAAAAAACCAACACAACAAAATACCACCATTCAGGTGGAACTGGGGAAGTGATAAGACAGAAACACAAGAGAACATCTCTACACACTGCTATCAAAGTGGCCATAACACCAGAGAAAAGCAGTCATGGCAGTTAACATGGACGCCGACAACCAAGGGCACCGGGCTCATAACAGCTGCCCTTCAGGCCACGGCTTTTGGGCTCTGCTGCAGGAATTGGGGCTGCTGGTTTCAAAGTTCAGGCCACTAGCTGGATGTGATTTTGGTGAGGGGAAAATGTGTCAAGCGTCTCCCTCCATTGCAGAGAGAAAGAGGATACAGGGTGGGGGCTAGGAGCCCCAAAAGCTTCTTAGAGGCCCCAGAGAAGAGAGCCAGGCAAGATTCTCCCCAACAGAGAGAAGGCCCTTCATGGACAGAGTTCACAGCATATTTGCATTTACATGGCATAAATTGCCACTGCCACTGTTGCCATCAGAAAGCTAAGAGTGAGGACCCATCGGAGGAGTGGTGCCTGGGATGAGCTAGTGCTGATCTGAGGCTTCCCTCTGGGTGTCTCTGCAGGGGTAGGGTCTTGCACCAGGCTACCAGGCCGCTGGCGAAGCCACTCCATCTGTGAGGGGCTCTGGTCCTTGTGGTCCTGTGTCAGCAGTACCTGAAGTTCTTCAAACAGCTCGATGTTGAGCAGGAATGCGGTCTTAGCCTCCTCTGTCACCCTGTGCTTGACCTCAGGTGTCATCTCCAGAGTATTCATGCGAGCACGGTAGAGCTGTTTGAACTTGGTAGGGCTGTCAATGTTGGGGAAGGTGAAAAAAGCCAGGCCTTCACCAGAGCTGGGCAGGTCCAGGGCCTTCTGCGCAATCTTCTTCAGGACCTGGCCCCCTGAGAGGTCACCCAGGTAACGGGTGTATGTGTGGGCCACCAGCAGCTCAGGATGAGTGCGCCCCACCTCGTGTAGGTGCCTCACATAGTGCTGTGTGGCCGGTGTGTAAGGGATGGTCTTCTGCCAGTGGGGACCATACCAAAAGGCCATGTCCTGCTCGAGGGCAGTCCTTCGGTGCAGCTCCTCAGGAAAGTAGAGCGGGGCGTAGACTGGGTTCTGCTTATTGCGTTCTATCTCCTCCTCCAGGGCCACATAGATGTGGTACAAGGAGGCCATCACCAGCTTAAAGCCTTCCCTGGTCACCTGGCCCTTCTGAAAGTTCCTCATGAACTCAGCATTCTCTGCCTGGGTGTGCACCTCCTTGGTGGCCTCCTTCAAGGCCTCAGACAGATCCTTGGGCATGCTGTCTGGCTGTGGGCGCTCCATCACCGGGCTGGGCTGGCTCAGGCTGATTCTGTCTGCTTTAGGCTCCGGGCTGTGCTTCAGATGGCTCCGCTCCGGCAGGCTCCACTCAATGGCTGTCTGCGGAAACTCTGGAGGAAACAGGACCCTCAAACACTTTTTTAAAAACTTTGATTAAATATACATTTTGGTTCTTTAAGTCAATCCTCATAATTGCTAGGAAGAACAGAACAGTAACTCCACTAACTTAAGCAGAAGTTTGATATTGATGAATTGCACTTTGACCTTAGAAATTTTAACTTCATATACATAAACTCTCATTCTTTGTGGGACTTGCTCAGACCTTTGTAACTTGCTTAAATGATTCAGCTTTCTTTTTCAGTCCACCCATCTTAATTTTTCTCCCTTTTTACTAAAAATTTTTTCATTCTTAGCCAGGTGTGGTGGCACATGTCTTTAATCCCAGCACTTGGAAGGTGGACCTCTGTGAGTTCAAGACCAGCCTTGTCTACATAGTGCATTCCAGGACAGCCAGGGCTACATAGTGAGAGCCTGTCAAAAAAAAAAAAAACCAGTAAACAAATTTCCATTATTACATCCTACTTACATTTCCTTCTACTTACTGGTTTTTGTTTTTGTTTTTTTAATTCTGTGAGATGTGAGAACAGGTAACAAATTTATCATCTTTTCTGAGAGTTATATCCTGGGGGTGGGTGGGTGAGTAAGCATAAGGTCCCAATGATAAAACAAAATCTGATTCCACCCAAGTTCACCCTGAGGACCCAGCAAGTTACTGGGCTTATTCACAGAGGAGTTACTGACAGAGGTATGGGTGTCTCAAAAGCAGCTTTACTGGATGTCTTCGCCCATTATTGTTGATGGCTTCCTCATAGTTGTGTAGGTGGAGCCCCTTCTACAGCCTGTAGACTCTGACTCCTCCTACACTGTGAGGCTACATGCAATTAGGACAGTCAGCACAGAGTGCAGCTGGCTGCAAGGATGACTGGGTTCTCAGGTGAGGCTCCAATGACCCTCCTGACCCCTCCTTCTATAAAGGAACATCAACAACCAATAAAACCAGCCATGATGATCTTTTATAAGCAGACACAGCTGGTCTTATGAAGATGGCAATTGTTTGGCTTAGAAAGTAGTGCTGTTCAATGCCACCTTAATAAAGGAAAGCTTAATCCAATATATTCATAGGATAATGTAATGGATTAATATTTCCTGCACATATACTCTTAAACTGTGAGGGTTTGTAAGTTTACAGGTAAACCTTATTATAAAACATGAAAAGTCAGTATAACATATACAGTGCATAGAGTTGTTTACCATGACCTGGGTTTTGGTGTCCAGTAATAGACAGAAGCAGCAGATACACAGAAAAACATCAAATCGATGTTTACAACATCCAGCAGAACTCAGCTAAGGAGCCCTGTTAAAACTATAATGCTGGAGTTATTATTGTCAAATGGATCTTGCTTTGACTGCCCCTTACCCCCCAAGTAAAAGCCATCACTGGGAAAGAAATCCATGAGGGAAGCAGGAGGAGTGGGGAGGTGTAACCAAAGGCCATGGGTGGAGCTGTTGCTCTGGGACCATAAGGAGAAGCTGGAAGGGAGACCAGGACTGTGGCACTATTTGTCCACTTACGCTTCTGGTAGCCATCACAAATGTTGTTTATGTGTCCATTTCTGGTTATATATTGCTATTATAATACATAGGGTTTTTTGATTTATTTTGATTTTAGTTTTGTTGGCCATGTATCTCATTACCTTGCAAACTAGCTTATTAGGAACTTTGTCTAGTATTCTTGGAATTTTCTGTGCAAACCATCATGACAACTGTGAAAAAAGTTTAATTTCATGCTTTTCCATTTCCATGAGTTTTTATTGCCTTGTTGCATTAGCTGGAATATCCAATGTGGTATTGAATAGGAATGGGAAAAGTAGCCACTGTTGACATGACCGGGCACTCTACTCTTAGGAGCAAAACTTCTAATTTCTCAAGTGTGATGTTATCTGTGGGTTGTCTGTAGGTGTTTTGTTGTTGTTATTTGTTTGTTGTTTGTTTGTTTTTCAAGTTTAAGGGAAATGCCTATGTTGTGATTGTTGAGAGTTTTCACTTGAAATGATGTTAAATTTTGTCAAGTGTCCCGCTCTCTGTATCCACTGACACGATCATCTGGTCGCTCTTCTCCAGCCTATGGATATGATGGGTTACATTAGTTGAGTTTTAGATATTGAGACAGCTTTATAGACCTGAGGTAGATCCCACTCAGTTCTGGTGTATAATTCCTATTATACATTAGTGGATTTAATTTGCTAATTTTTATTGAGGACTTTTGCATGTGTACAGGGAAGATAATGGTCTCTGGATTTTTGTTATGATCACGTCTTTTCTGATTTTGTAATGCTGACCTCATAGGATGTTAGGTAGTGTTTCCTCTACTTCTGTTTTCTACAAGAGACTGTAAAGAATTGGTATTATTTGTTCCTTAAATGTTTGCTAGACTTCATTGGTGAAACTGTCTGGGCGTGGTGATGTTTTGTAATGCTCATTTATATGTGACATTTACCTCTGCATGGGTTGGTACAGATATGTTATCTTTGTGCCCATTTAAATAGGACTTCATCTAAGTAATTAAAGTTATGGGTACAAACATATTCATAACGCACCTTTATTATTCTTTTTATATCTATGGTATCAGTGGTTATGGCTCCCTGTTTTTAAAAACATTTATTTTACTGTATGTGTGTGCATATGTGTGTTGGCAAACACATGCCTCAGTGAGTATGGAGGTCATGAGACAACTTTTGAGCATTGATTCTCTCCTACCATGTGGTCCCTGGTAACAAACTCAGTTTGTCAGCCTTGGTGACAAGTACCTTCACCAGCTGAGCCATCTCACCAGCTCTGGCTCTTTTTCGTGTGTTTTAGTCTTGTATCCATTTGTTTCTAAATATTTTCTAATTTCAGTTGTGACCTCTATTGAGACATAAAGGATAACGGGAATGAGAACCAGATTCATCTATTCTTTCTGTGTGTTATCAGGTCCTCTGCCTCCTCTAGCTATTTACTTTAAAGAATCTTCTCTTCATAGCCGCATTCAGCAGAGAGGCAGGGTGGGATGTGCTTACTCCATCTCCACCTGGAGACATAACTTCCATGAGGATTTTTTTCTGTGTTGAAGATTGAACCTAGACCCTTACAGATGCCAGGTGTATTAGATGGGTGTCTCTAGAGAAACAGAACTGATACAATAAATCTATCTACCTATATGTCTGTCTGTCATCTATCTATCTATCTATCTATCTATCTATCTATCTATCTATCTATCTATCTATCTATCTATCTTCAAAGGGATTTACTAGAATGGCTTACAGTCTGTGGTCCAGCTAGTCCAACAATGGTTGTCTCCTGCTGGAAAGGCCAGGAACCCAATAGTTGTTTAATCCACCAGGCTGGATGCCTCAGCTGGTCTTCAGTATTCATTGGCATCCCAAAGAAGTAGGTTCTAATGCCAGAAAAGTAATGCCCCAGCAGCAGGAGAGATGAACTTGCCTGTGAGATTAAGAACAAGCAGGCTAAAAACAAAAGCTTCCTTCTTCTGTGTCCTCTCATTGGGCTGCCCCAGAAGGGTAGCCCAGATTTAAGGTGGGTCTTCTGACCTCAAATGATCTGAACTTAGAGTAGGCCTTCCGACCTCAAATGATCCAACCAAGAATAACCCCTCATAGGTGTGACCAGCTCTTTGGGCTTGATTCCATCTGTGGTCAAGTTGACAACCAACATTAGCTGCCACGCTAGTGATTTTGTACATTGTTTATTACTTTTCTGTAGCTGTGACCAAGTGTCTGGGAGAGTGAAAAGGGTGAGGGGTTCACTTTAGGTCATGATTTCAGCTCTTCATGACAAGGTTAGTAAAGCAGAGCTGTCTACGTCATAGCTCTCAGGAAGTAGAGTGAAGACAGGCAGGATCCAGGCCAGAGGTGCCCTTCAAAGACACACTCCTGTGACCTACTTCCTCCAACCAGGCTCCACTTTGTACAGTTTCTACTATCTCTCAATCATTTATTAAGATATTTAATTCATCAGTTCATCAAACCACTGATTAAGACAGAGTTCCCATGATCTTATCTAAAAATTACCACATGTACATACGTATGTACACACACACACACACACACACACACACACATCACTAATCTCCCAGGTACATCTCAATACAGAAGGTTTTGATAAAAAATAAAATCAGAGTAATTGGAGACAGCAGGTGGTCACTGTTGTGTGACTATTTCTGGGGAGATGTAAACAAAAGTCTATTCATTCTAGATAGGGCACTAATGACAGACCAAATTAATGATAACATTATAGTCCAACTTGATGACCCAGTGAACTTATTGGGGTTACTTTCAGGAGTGTGAGTGTTACTTACAGAAGCAGGGGTGACTCAAAGGCAGTTGTGTCACTGAAAACCCAACCCAACATGGGAGGTGAGTCATGAAGGCTGCAAGCTTGGAGCTTTATGTATGACTTGCAGGCAGCTCTCCAGTTTGCAGAGTTTCTTCTCTTATTACTTTATAACCTTGGGGAGGAAGAGCCTTTGTGCATCTGGTCAGTTTCAGGGACTTCCTAAGACTTGTGAGTTGTTTATGTCTTAAATCTTAATGAACCTCCCTTTAGAAATTTCTGAGTCTTTAAAAAAATTGTGTGTGTGTGTGTGTGTGTGTGTGTGTGTGTGTGTGTGCACAAGTGTGTGTGCCATGTGTGTGGAGGCCAGGAAAGGGTACCAATCCCCTGAAACTAGAATTACAGATGGTTGTGAGTCACCCAGTGTCGGAGCTAGGAACTAAACTCCGGTCCTTTGGAAAACTAGCAAATGCGCTCAATCTCCAGCCCCAAACTTCTGGAGTGTTTATGATTTTCTCTCCAGGATAGAATGTTTCAACTCAGAGAAAATTGCTATACAACATTCATGTACGCTGGGCATTAGATATTGGCAGTGGTGGTAGGTAAGAGGAAGCAAGCCAGGGTTCCCAGAGAACTAGAACTTTGCTGTCTCTTGACTGGGTATTAAAGAAGGAAGGGTATTATAGATATGACAAATTCTGCATCTCTAGGGAACAGAAGCAAAGGATTTTATGCATTTGGGGGCATTGTATACAACAGGACATAGAGGTGATATGGGGCAGGCAGGAGTCAGACACATGCATTCTGTTGTGTGTGAATTTTGTTGCAGAGTCTATGTAGAATATATTACTCCCCTGGGGTTGCTAGAACACATTACTACAGATTTGGCAATGCCGTGGAACACAAGTGTATTCTCTTAGAACTCTGAAGGATAAAAATCTGAAGTCTTAAGTTTAAACTCCAGACATCTGTGGGGCTCTGAGGGAGAATCCACTTTCTGCCACATTCATTTTCTACTGACCACTGATGGGCTTCTGTGTACGGCTGACCACATCTTCACTCTCTGCTTCTCACATCCTACCATGTCTTCCCACTTCTACCCCTTCATCAGTCTCCAAGGACCCTTCATCTGTCCTCTAGGGATTTTTATAGATATCCAGGCTCATCTTCCATTTCAGAAACCGCAGTCCCAAAGTCCCTATTCTCATGAAAGGTAACTCTGGCTCTGGGTCTCAGACATGGTCATCCTGGAGGGTCATTGTGCTGACTAGTTTTATGTCAACTTGACACAAGCTAAAGTCATCTGGAAGGAGGGGTCCTAGGTTAAGAAAATGCCCCCATAAGATCTGGCTGCAGGGCATTTTCTTAATTAGTGATTGATGGGGGAGGGCCCAGTTCATTGTGGATGGTGCCATCCCTGGCTGGTGTCCTGGGTTCTATAAGAAAGCAGGTTGAGCAAGCCATGAAGGGAAATCCAGTAAGCAGCTTCCCTCCATGGCCTCTGCATCAGCTCCTGCCTCCAGGTTCTGGCCCTGTTTGAGTTCCTGTCCTGACTTCCTTCAGTGATGGACTATGATGTGGAAATGTAAGCCCAATAAACCCTTTCCTCCTCAGCATGCTTTTGGTCATGGTGTTTCATCATGGCAATAAAAACCATAACTAGGAAGTCATGAAGCAGGTTATCTCAAGGAAGCAGTTTACAGGTATCAATTGGAGGTCTGTAGAGTAAGGAAGCTGTAGGGAAGATCTGGGTTCCAGTGGAAAAGCACCGTGGACTGGGTGGCAGTCAGCATGTGGATGGACAAGAAAGGCTTGGGTTCTGCCTCCACTGGCTGGGTGGATGGTGCCCGTTTTGATCAGATGAGGACGCATCACGAGATAAGCAAAGAATCCTCGTAGGCAGTTGATACTTACTCTGGGGAGGTGATGGGTGTTGGCTGTTCCGTCCTGCCTGACATATGGAAGTTTTTCATTTTTGTTTTTATTACTGTGATAATATGAAAAGTAATTTGGGGGAGGAAATGGTTTACTTGGCTTCCAGTTCCACACCACAGTCTGTCATCGAGGGACGTCAGGGCAGGAACTCAAGCAGGAGCGGAGGGGGAACCATGGAGGGAAAGCTGCTTCCTGGCTTGTTACTTCTGGCTTGTGCTCAGCTGATTGTGTTGCACAGCCCGGACCCACCTACCGAGTGATGATGGGCTGGGGCCTCTTAAATCCATTAGCAATCACGACAGTGCTCCATGGACATAGCCACAGGCCAGTCTGATGGAGGTAATTCTATCTGTCATCCTTTTCCCCAGGTGACTCTAGGTTGTGCCAAGTTTACTAGAATAACTAATCAGTGGAGATGGAGTGGCCATTTAGAGCTGTGTCTAGAATTTACAAGTGCCTGGAAGTTAGCAGAGAACAATGATGATGATGATGATGATGATGATGATGATGATGATGATGATGTGTGTGTGTGTGTGTTCTAGGAGAGGGAACGCAGGCACAAACGTACAGATGTGTGCACATATGTATACAGGCCAGGGGCCAATATAGAGTGGCTTTCCTCAGGCACTGTTGAATTTGTTCTTTGAAACAAGCCTTTTCACTGTCCTACTACTTACCAAGTAGACTAGGCTGACTGCCCAGCAAGCCTCAGGGATCTATCTGCCTGTTTCAGACTCCCCAATGCAGGGATTACAAAATGTGTCCACCACACCTGGCTTTGTGTGTATGTGCCTGTGTCTTCTGGGCATCAAACCTGAGTCCTCAGACTTCCCATATGAGGCAAGCACCAATGGAACTATGTCCCCAGCCCCAACAACGGCTTTTACATCCAAGCAAAGTGGGAGAAAGGAAGGAAGTTAGGTGGGTGGGCAAGCTCCTGGCCGAGGAGGGTGCTAAGGCGCTGCATTCATAATCCGTCTTAGGCTGGAAAGGACCACGTCTTACTGATTCAAAGACTCGAGGTAAAGGGTACAGAATGTTTCGTGTGTGCTTTCTTTCGCTCATCAACCTCAGGGATCAGAGGCTCCAGTTGGGGCTGGCACTGCTTCTTGGCAGTCTCAATGAGCGTCCACAGAAAGCCTGAAGGAGGTTCCCCCTTAGCAACCTAATCTGGCAGACGGGAACCATTCCGCCTTCAGGTTGCCTGGCAGCAGCTGGAAAGCTATTATTTACCTTTCTGGGAACGTTCAACTGGAGAGGAATTTGAGGGCATGTGAAAGTCTCTATGCCTCTGAGAAGAAGCGTCGTCCTCTGCTGCTATGTGTAAGGAGACCTCCCACATGGTTCCTTCCAGAATTATTGGTGCTTCTCCCCCTCTGGCGTGGCGTTTCCTCCCCAGCTCATAGGAGGTAAACACGGTTCTTCCTCTTTGATGGGCTGAGACTTCGCACCTGAGAGAGGAACAGGGTCTCAGGAAGAGCTGAGTGGACTAGAAGGGGCAGGCACTTCAGAAGGAAGGATGGGCACGTCAAAGTGGATAAGCCGAAATGATCGTGGCAGGGATGGAGACCACTCAGCTGAAGAGGAACATGTCCCAGACCCCAGCTCCAGGATGCTGTTCAGAAATGGGGACCAGGAAGAGGCTCTGCGACCTTGTTGGTTATCTCAGATAAAGATTGTGTATGGATGTGTGTGTGTGTGTGTGTGTGTGTGTGTGTGTGTGTGTGTGTGTATGTGTGTGTGAATGTGGAGGTCAGAGGTTAACCTCAGCTGTTGTTCTTCAGATACCTTCTCCTTTATTTTTTGAGACTGAGTCTCTTGGTGGTACAGAGCTCACCAAGTGTGCCAGACAGGCTGGCTAGTGAGTGTCAGGCATTTGCTTTTCCTCCCTCCTCAGCGCTGGGATTATAGGTATGTACCATTGTACCACTTACTGCTACCCAGCTTTTTGGTTTTTTTTCCTCTCATGTGGACTTGAGGACTAAACTCAAATCTTCATGCATGCAAATGTTTCACCCCCACACCAAGTTATCTCCCAGCCTACAGGAGACTTTTCTAAACCTCGGTGTCTCATATCCAGAGGAAACAAAACAAAACAAAAACCTCCTTCACGAATAAAAGCTTCAGTAAGTCCATAGAGGAAAAAAAATCTACTTAACTTTGTGGCGTTTTCCAAAGGTTCCTGACAGATATCTGTTCGTGTGTCCTATTCTCTAAATCCCGACTTGAGGAATTCACTCACGCTAGCATCCCAGCAAACTGAGCCCTGTTCTGCCAGACCCTGGGAAAAGACCCTCGGAGCCCCTGTGAATGAAAAAATCACTTTCTTGCATCTGCTACTGGAGCAAACGAAACAGAACGACCTTGTTTCTGGCTAGGAGGCTCATTCATCTTTCCTTGCTCAGTAGAGCTTCAATGAACAACAGCCCATCCATGGGAGCCGCTCAGCTGTGATTTCAGATCAGACCTTGTTAGTCCCACCAGCTGTGTTAGCTCCGGGAGAGTCCCAGCCTGTCCTGGGCATCAGCGTTGATGCAAACAACCAACTGCAACAATGTGGCACTGCTTTGTATCAGCAGGGAGGGTTAGCAGAGCAGGCAGTGGGTTCTGCTTCGGAAGGACCAGTGGGTGCCCGTTTCAATCAGTTCACGTTGTCAGTAAAGAGAATTAGCCCTTTCTCTGCTGGTTATTAAAACATCTCCATGTCTCAGTTGGTGAACTGAAGTTGCCAAACCAGGCTGAGGAAGTGAGCTTGATTCCTAGCACCCACATCAATTAAAAAAAAAATATAAAGTCAGACTTAGAGGCCAGGCATGGTGGTGCGTGTCTCTAATCCCAGGGCTGGAGAAGGGGAGACTGGAGGATAAGTGGGGCTTGCTGGCCAACCAGTCCAGACAAATCAGCAAGCTTCAAGTTCAGTAAGAAACTGGTTTTCAAAAGATAAAATGGGTCTGGGGAGATTGGTTCAGTGAGTAGAGAAGAGCTTTCATGAGCCAGCATGAGGTCCTGTGTTCAGGTTCCCAGACTGATGGAAAAGCTGGGTGTGGCCATATGTGTCTGTAACTGCAGTGTTAGTGGCAGCGTACAAAGAGCGAAAGGACCACTGGGAGTTGCTAGCTGGCCAGCCTCACTAGAAAACCAGCAACATCCAGGTTCTGTGAGAGACCCTGTCTGAAAGGAGTGAGGTGGAGAGTGGTGGATACACTACACACAGAGAATAAGGTGGAAGATCTCTGAGCCTCATCTTCAAATACATCAGAGGCAGGTGCTGTGGATCTCTCAGTGAGCTGCTGTGGGTGCAACATAGACCGCCATTACCATTGCTCCCATTTCATGAAGAAAGAGAGAGATTGGCACTGTCCACTTTCTCCTTAGCCTCAGAGGGTGGAGCTAACTGGGACATGAATGTGATTTCAGTTAGTCTTCAATATTCCAGTTCACGTCTTGGGATCAGAAAAAGTGAACCCCACATGAGTGGACAACAGAAGCCAGCTGTATTGCAGCTAGGGCGAAGGTAGGGCATTCGGTGGTGTGTTGGCTACAGGGTGACACTGCCTTGGGATCCCCGCAGCCAGAGTTCCCCAGGGTAGCCCTCAGCAAGGCTTTTTTCCCCCCAATAAATGACAGCTGTTGCGAGATCTCTGGCGCCCTCTGGTGGTGATAAACTGTTCTAGGCACTTGCCCTGAGAGGTGAAAGTCTAGAGGAAGCTGCTTTGGAATACATACTCCAACTTCATGGAGGATGCTGATGTTGCTGTCCGCCTCTGTCCTGGCCTTCCCAGCACCTCTCACCCAGAATCACAGATTCATTCTGATTGCTCTCCTTTTACGAATCAGGAAGTGGGTTACTGTTCCGGGGGGGCCAGCAAGTTCCCTGCCTCCCTGAGATCTGCAAGCCAGAGAGGTTCACATCACTCCATTTCTGTTCGGGTCTCATTCTCTTCTCTCTTGTTTTCTGCAGACTGGCCTTGAGGTGGCAGTGTGAGCAGCCTGTCCTCTGGTTTTCTCCTCAAGTTGGTGGTGGGAAGCAAGGAACCCTCATGGGCCCAGATTAGCACACAGCTGAGATCTGGTAGCTTCTGGTGTGATGGCCCTCCCCGTGGTCCTAGCCAGTGGCCTTGCCATAGCTTGCTCTGTGTATGGGGGATCAGATAATTCTCTGAATTTCCTTCTGTCTTTTCTTTCTTACATGGCCAATGAGAACTTCCTTAAAGGATGCTATTTGGAGGGTTTCAGTTGGCTAGTGTGTGGGAATGTGACCATTTTTATTAACTTAAACTCTTTGAGGAATATCGACACAGACAAGGACTGGGGAGATGGCAAGATGGCTCAGTTCATAACATGCCTGCCATACAAGCACGAAGGCATGAGTTCAGTTCCCCAGCATCCTTTAAAGTCTAGGTGTGGCAGCATGTACCTGTCACCCAGGCGTGTTGGGGGGAGGAGGAGGATGGGGTATAGAGAGAGATGGATCCATGAAACTCATTGGCCATTCATGCTAGCTGAATCCACGAGCTCCGAGTTCAATGACTTCATAAGGTTCCGATTATTTATCTCTTGAATCGCTGGTATAAACTGCTACAAGTTTCCTTGGCAGAAAATGGTATTTTCAGTACTTGTTTTGTGGTTCTAGTAGTTGAACCCAGGGCTTGGCCCATGCCAGGCAAGCATGCTCACACTGAGCTATTGGGATTTTGAAACAGAGTTTTGATATGTAGCCCAGATTGGCCTCGAATTCCTCCTACCTCAGCCTCCCAAATGCTCCAAAGATTTCAATATTGGCTTAATTCTGTTAGTGGTTAAGTCAGTTGATAAGCTTTTTAAAAGTATAAAGATGTGTGGTGTCTCTGCCACCATCAATTGAAAGACTACACTTTCCCCTGATGAATTCCTTTGGTACCAACAATTTGTAAATTTGCATACACTGCTTAACTTTGGGTCATTATTTAGTTCCACTGCTCCATTAATGTCTTCACACCATATCATGCTCCTTTGAACACTATAGTTCTCCTGGAAAACCCCAAGCCAGGCAGAGTGGTACCCTAAATGTATGCTTCCTTTCCAATATTGTTTTAGCTAGTCTAAGACGTTTGTATTTCCATATAAACTTTAGAGTCTCCTTAAAATTTCTACAAAGCCTGCCAGAATTTTGGTCAATATTCCGCTGATCTACAGACCAACTCAGAGGAAAGACACCCTATGTCAACTTCTGACCTCCAGAAATCCCTAAATGTCAACCTCCGGCCTGTAGCATGAATCTTAAAAGTTCTTATTAATAAAAACAAACCTGAGGCCAAGTATTGAGGTGAATTCTGGAAGATCAGAGAAGCAGCACAAGCCACAGCCTCACCTCACCAATTCCTCAGCTGATTCTGTCTCCTCAGACTGGAAGCCAGCTCATCCAGAATGAATCTCAGCTGAACTGCTACTCAAAAGCCTAAAAGCTTAACCAGGCCTAGTTCCTCATCCTCATGCCTTAAATATCTTTCTGCTTTCTGCCATCACTTCCTGGGATTAAAGGCGTGAGTCACCATGCCTGGCTGTTTCCAGTGTGGCTTTGAACTCACAGAGATCTGGATGGATCTCTGCCTTCGGAATGCTAGGATTAAAGGTGTGTGTGCCACCATTTTCTAGCCTCTGTATCTAGTGGCTGTTCTGTTCTCTGACCCCAGATAAATTTATTAGGGTGCACAATATTTTGGGGAACACAATACCACCACACCTGCCTCTGGAAATGTCCACACATGTGCACACTGACACCACCCCCACACAAACGGGTGGTCCCTTTTATTGATGGATTAGATTAGATCAGCGAACATAGTCCACATAATGTCAGTCTTCTGAATTTTGCGATCATTGCATATTTTTCTCTTGTTTAGAAGTTAGAGATCAGTTCCACTATTCCTTTAGTGTTTGGCCCCAATTTGTGCTGAGTAAGACTTTTCCCAGAGAGACATCACATACACACACACACACACACACACACACACACACACACACACACACACACACACGTCTACTCACCCCAGATAGGGAACCAACTACAGGCCGAAGCAGTGATTACACTAAGGTCCAAGTGATGAACCAAAGAGTTTATTGGTAAAGGGTTACTTACAGAGGCAGGGAAGACTCAGATTCAGCTCCCATCGATGAAAATCCCACCCCACACAGGTGATGACTCACAAAGGCTGCAACCTTAGGGCTTCCAGAGGACTTGCAGGCAGCTAGGCAGGTCAAGGAATCTCTTCCAGGCAGCTCAGCTCTCCTGGGAGTCTCACTTCCCGGCAGTTGTTTACTGCTTCTATCCTAGGGGTGAGCACCCACGGTATCTTGCTAGTTTTGGGATCTTTTTGAGACTTAAGTGATTTACTTCCTGAGTCCCAAGAGCCTATCCCGTTTTCCCTGGAGAGAATGTTTTAACTTAGAACTTTCTCAGCTTTAAGGAGCCTTCCTCCATACTGGAAGGGTTCAATTAAAGGACATTACTACACCACAACTTGCAATGTGTGTGTTTTTTCTAATCAAATTATGAGGGTAGCCATCATCTGGAAAATGACCCCTGAACTCTCACTCCATACCTCTGCTGACTTCTGTGATTTTGTGTTATATTTTACATCTATGTTTCCATTTTCTTTTTTGGCGTGTATTCATGCATGTATGTATGTATGCATGTATTGTGTGATGTGTGGTGTATGTGTACAGTGCGTGTGTGCATACATATGTTTATGTGATTGAACAAGGGCCAGAGAACAACACTGTTGTGATCTACTGTTCTCTACTTTATCCTCTTGAGAAAGAATCTTCCACTGAAGTTGGAGTTAGTCAGGCCATCTGCAAGCCCCAGTGATTCTCTGCCCCCACTCCCCAAAGCACTGGGGTTTCCAGTATGCACATGCCACAGGCAGCTTTTCACATGGGTGATTGGCATTCAACTCAGGTCCTTGTGCTTGCACAACATCGCGCCTCTACACAGTCGTCTTCTCTGCCACCAAGGTTTTAATACTTCCATGGGTTAGCACTATATACTATACTATATACTATATAACTATATAACTATGTAATATATATATATATATATATATATATATATATATATATATATATATATATATATATATAGTTTGCACCTTATACTCTATGGCATGCTCACTTGTACTGACTCAGCCTCTGGTTCTTCCTTCCTTCTCTCTCATCCATAGTAACTGTCTTCCTGTATGACATGTATCCTTTGGTAAAAAAAAAAAAAATCTACTATATTTGAATTTGATCCGTGATTTTGTTTTGTTTGATTCTTTTTTTTTCAAGACAGGGTTTCTCTGTGTAGCTTTGGAGCCTGTCCTGGAACTCACTCTGTAGACTAGGCTAGCCTCAACTAGACCAGGCTGGCCTCGAACTCACAGAGATCCGCCTGCCTCTGCCTCCCAAGTGCTGGGATTAAAGGCATGTGCCACCACCGCCCAGCTTGTTCACTTCTTAATAATTATTATTGAAAGGTAATTTCACTGTAAATACATCATTCTTATTTGGAAGCTATTTTTCTTTCTGTAATTAAAGATATTCTTACCCTACATAAATTATCAAGACATGGACAGAATACACCCAAATTATTTGCCAACATATCACACAAATGGCTTCTACTGCGGTTGCTAATAGAGTTCTTGGTCCCCTCTGAAACCTCACAAGCCGGGCCTTCACCATCCACATTACTCTCAGTACTACTGTCTTCCAGACAGCTAGTGTAATGAACCATTAAGCTCTGCTTACAGCATTCAACAGACTTTTTTAGTTCAAAGTCCCATAGTCTTTCATGTTCCAAAAAACAAAATGAAAAACAAAAACAAATAACAAACAAAAAACATAGTCGGGTTCTTTTTGTGTGTGTGTTTTGTTTTTGTTGTTGTTGTTTCTAGAGACAGAGTTTCTCTGTGTAGTTTTGGTGCCTGTCCTGGATCTTACTCTGTAGACCAGGCTGGCTTCAAACTCACAGAGATCCACCTGGTTCTGCTTCCTGAGTGCTTGAATTAAAGGCGTGTGCCACCACTGCCTGACATAGTTGGGTTCTTAACAACAAAAAAACAAAAACAAAAACAAAACAAAACAAAACCCCACTCCTGGTACCAATTTATGCATTAGTTACTTTTCTGTTGCTGTCATAAAATACCATGACTAAAAGCAACTTAAGGAAGAGTTGTTTTTGCTTAAGGCTCCAAAGCAACGGAGTCCATAACATCAGGGAAGATGTGGTAACAGAAACAGGAAGCAGTGAGATTATGTTTATCCACACACAGGAAGTGTAGAGGGGGAAAGGAGAAAGAGAGGGAGAAAGGAAGAGGGAGGGTGGGAGGGAGGAAGAGGAAAAGGAGGGAGGAGGGAGGGAAGAAGAGGGAAGGAGGGAGAGAGGGAGAGTGGGAGGGAGGAAGAGAGAGGGGGAGAGAGAGAAAGAGTTAATTCAGGAAGTGGTATACTTCCTTCGACAAAGCTCCGCCTCCTAAAGATTGCATCACCTCCCCAAACAGGAAGGTTCTACTGACCAGGAACCAATTGTTCATACATGAGCTATAGGGGACTTTGTGTTTTCAGTCAAGCTACAACAAATATCATCTTGTTTGATAGCTATTTTCTTTCAGCATTATGGACATTTTTCTTTTTTCTTATTATGCTGCTGCTGCTGCTTTGAGCCAATTCTTTTCAAGTATTCTTTCTCCCATTCTGCCCTATGATGCTTTGAAGCCCCCCCGCCCCCAGCTTTAAAACATTTTTAGAGACTTATTATTTATTATTTTAAAATGGTGTGTAGGTGTGTGTGTTTGCATGTGAGTATGTGCGCTTGAGTTCAGGTGCCCATCAGGTTCCTGGAGTTAAAGACTATTGTGAGCCGCCAGATGTGGGTGCTGGAACTGAACTCAGGTTTCTAGAAGAGCAGCGAGTGCTCTTCCCTCCTGAGCCATCTTTCTAGCCCTGACCACCTACTCCTTTGAGAGTTCTTCGTATTTGCTCTGGTTTTGTCAGCAACAAGGAGACAGAGACACAGCTCCAGTCTGCCCTGTTGGTAGGCTGAAGATTCCCCTAGGGCCATGGTTCTCAACCTTCCTAATGCTGCAACCCTTTAATACAGTTCCTTGTGTTGCAGTGACCCCCCAAACATAAAATTATTTTTGCTGTTACTTTATACCTGTAATTTTGCTACTGTTATGGATAGTAACGTAAATATCTGATACGCAGTATATCTGATATGTGACCCCTGTGAAAGGGTCGTTCCATCCCCAAGGGGGTCATGACTCACAGGTTGAGAACTACTACCCTAGAGTTTTAAAGACCTGGACTCAGACCAATCCAGGATTTGTAACTTTAACTATTACTCTCCACAAATAAATTAGGATTAACAGGTTTATGTGTTGGAGTTTTTATTAAATATGTTTTAATATGTATATTGTTTTAAATTGTGTGTGTGTGTGTGTGTGTGCCATGTCTGTGCAGATGCCTGCAGATCCCAAAGAGCTAGAGTTATAGGCTTGTGTGAGCCACCCAACGTGGGGGTACTGGGGACCAAACAGGTCCTCCAGAAGAGCAATATGCATTCTTAACCCCTTAACCCCTGAGCTGTCTCTGCAGCCCTGTTTTAGCACGCCAGTAAATGCTTAAGCAGGGCGTTAAGAGAAAGAAAGGTGCGCATAAGAAAGTCAGACGCATCTCCAAGTGTGACTGTGGCTTCTCAAACAAGAATCCTTCCCTCTATGTCGTCATCTCCCCCCCCCCCCCACCCCCCACCCCCTGCCCGCTCCGGCTTTGATAGATACATGAGGTGGCGCTGGAGTTGCTTTACATGGATTTATAATCGGATAAGGCAAAGCCAGAAGCCACTAGGCACATATCGTTTCATGGGATTGCTGATGAGATTCCTCGAAAATCGTAGGTCTGCAGCTTGGGAAGTGAGAACGGCTTGAAGTGGTTGTTGACGACTGTGGTGGCAGCGTTCTCCGCTTGGCTGCTGGCAAGCGGTTCCGACCCGATTCCAGAGTGAAGAGGGGGTTCCTTTTCTCTTCTCAGGTCTCCCACATGTACTCCGCCTTTCTCTCCTGCCTCCGTCTATCTAAAAATAGATTTCCTTCCTTACTGATTCAGCTTGAGACTCGTCGGGCTTTGTAAACGTACGAATGGGTGTGCTTTGCCAGCTGTCTGAAATTCTCAGCCCTTCCAAGGGTGGGTCCTGCCGTCTTCTCTCCCTCTCCTTTGGAACTCCAGCCTGAGCTGACTTCAGCTTCTCTCATTCCTTCTCTCTTACCCTCTCTTCCACCATTTCGATCACTTTGCTCTGTCCTCGAGAACTTGTAAGTTTCTTTCAGCCTATCTTGACTCAGTGAATTTGTTTTTAAAGCCGTGTATTGCGCTGGGTGGCAGTGGTGGCTCACGCCTTTACTCCCAGCACTTGAAAGGTAGAGCCAGGCGGATCTCTGTGAGTTCGAGGCCAGCCTGGTCTACAGAGCGAGACCCAGGACAGGCACCAAAACTACGCGGAGAAACCCTGTGTTGCATTTCTAAGCTTTTTATTGTACCCTTAATTTCTAACATTTTTAGCTTCTGGGGGTCAGTTGCTACCTTCCCATTCCCTGTGGCTGTGTAAGCCTGCTCTTTGTCTCTTCAAGCATCGTAAGCATACTCATTTTTATTTCAGGCACTTTCCGTGTGTCTAATCCCCCAGGATCATGGCATATGATTGTACTCCTGGGATAGGACCACATCTGTGCCTTTAGACTGCTGTCCCTTTTCTACCATCTTAGAGCTACAGCATTGGACTCAATCCTTGCCGGGTGTGATGATTGGTTTTAACTTGGGACTTGACACAGTATAGAATCATCTGGAGTCTCAGTGAGGATGAGGCTGTGGCCTGTGGACAGGTGTGTGGGGGATTGTCTTGACTGCATTCACGGA